CTACACGTAGGAACTTGAAACCCAAGAGTATGGAAAAGCAACAGAGCAATAGCAGTTGTGCCAAGAACTGGGGTTGCTGCCAAGCTGTTCTCCAGGCCCCATATGCAGTGACCAACTACATGCAAAGATTAGACTGAACTGCCCGTGGGGCCTCACATGCTTGATATTCCCGTTTGCTTCTGTTCATTTTCTTTCTCCTGCTTAAATAAGCCTCTTCCCAAACCTGTAACCAATTCAAATCCAATTCATCCTTGAAGACCCAGGTGAGGTCCAACTTCTTCAAGGAAGCCTCCTCTGACCATTTTAGCCCACAGATATTCCCCCCCACACACAAAACAGGTACCAATCTGTACCATAAAGCATAATCACATACACATTTATACCATTAAATAAATGTTTCCTGTGTATATATTTGATATATTTGATTTTCCAAGGGCAGGAACCATGTCTCACATGTCTTTTAAACCCCTTACTCTTAGGGGGTTAATACTTGTTGAAAAGTGACTGAACCAGTGGGTTTGTTTGTTCGTTTGTTTAGGCTAAGGAAGGCTGAGGTAGATACATTTTGAAATGAAAAAGGCTGAATGAACAGATGGGTGCAAAAGAAGCACTGGTTCAAAATTTGGGGAAAAGCTGTAGAAGAAAGGTGCTCAATTAACACGTTTAACTGATTTGCTGCAAGGTTGGAAAAAGACATATCAGAGAGATGTCAACTGGAAAAATCTGGAAAATGGCATTTCAGCTTGAGGCAGAAGACAGCAGGAGAAAGATGGGGCTACAAAATATATTCTGCTAAAGCCTAGGGATAGGCCAGTTGGATAAAGGGGGTTATTGGGATGACATGGGTAGAGATGTGGTTATGCAGGTGAGCGAATCGGTAGGGCGTGGTATGAAGGGTTGGGTAGATGGATAAAATGATCGAGGGTAGTTAGGCAAGTGGGTTAGCTGACTGGGCGGATGGGAGACAGGTAAGTGGGTGGGTGGTTAGGTGTTTAGTTGGGAGGGAATAGGTGTGGGGCGTATTATTTAAGATCCGGCCCCTCCCTCACCTTGACCCGGAAGCGGATGAGCGCTAGCCTCACGCAGTGGCTCAGGCAGGCCGGTGGCAGGAACCAGGCCCGTGGAGGAGGGGTGCCCTTGTTGCCCACGTGTCCCACGATCAGTTGCGCTGTCTGCCGCTCAGCCTGGCACCGACGGCCCCACTCGGCCAGCCGGTCCTTGCCCAGGCCCCCGGGGAACATGACCACCAGCTCCAAGCCGTCGCCGCCGGGATAGGCACAAGCCTGACATAGCGCTGACAAGTAGCCCAGCATGGCGTTCCATTGGCCGCCACACACCCAATCCGTCTGGTAGCCGCCATAAAGCCGAGGCAGCGCTGAGCCCGCGTCCACCAGCACCCGGGCCCCGGGCAGCGGAGGGGGCGGCGGCGGGTGCAGCCCGGGGTGCGCCTGGCCGTGATGGTGGAAGTGGTGAGCGGGGTGATGGTGCCGAGTCGGCCCCGCGCCCCCGGAGTAGGCACCCAAGGCAGCGGGCGCGAGCGGCGGTTGCAGAGGCACGGAGCCCCTGGCGGCGCGTGGAGCCCCGGGCGCTAGGGCTGCCGTAGGCGGCAGCGGGCGATGCTGCTGCTGCTGCTGCTGCTGCTGCTGGCGCGAGACCGTACGCGCGAGTTTGAGGAGGTCCACGGGCACAACAGCCCCGGGACACCGCTTCTCCAGGAACTCTTGGAAGCCCTGGACGCCCATGCTTCGTCGGTGGGCAGACGAGACGGCGGCTGCGCGAGCAGGCTAGGCGGCGATCTGGGCGCGAAGCTGGGGGCGGGCGCGTGCGCACTCCGCGGGGGGCGAGGGGGCGGGCAAAGGGTTCCCGAGGGGCGGGGTGAGCTGGCGAGGGAATAAGGGAGGTGTGGGGAGGAGACCACAGACTGGATTTGGGTGGAGAGGAGTGGTGAGGCCGACCGGACTCAGTAGAGGCTGGGAGGATAAAAGCGATGACAGCCTCTAGTCACTTCTCTCTTATCCCTCTATGGCCGCTCTTCACCGCTTCAAAAGGGGTGAAACCTCTTACTTCTACCTCCAGGAGCCATGTTACCTCGTCTTCTCTATGGTACACGCTTTCTAGCTGGAGGAGGGGGAGCGGGGCGGGGCATTCTGGGAGTTGTAGTCTCCTCTACGGCCTCGGGATACAGTGTTGGAACAAGATTACCACCCCTTTCAGCCCTTGCATTCACTGGGTCTCAAGGGGCGGGGCGTGATATGCGTTTCGGATTTGCACTCCAGCTCTTTGCATCCACCGAGTTGCTTCAGGCTATTTACCGCCTTTCCCAGGAAAAGGAGTTGGGGGGAGTGATGCATCATGGGAAAGGAAGTAGAGTGGATTAATTGAATTCAGCTAAAGTATGCTAAAATTCCTCAGGAGGAAGAATTTTCCTTTGGGGGGACGGAATAATGTGCATAGTTTTTAATGAATGAGAAAGGACACATATGAAACGTAAAAATAATAACCACCATTTCTGTAACAATCCACTTAACTTTTAGCTACTGTAATTCTCTGAGAAAGAGTTCTTGGCCCCAATTTATGAATGGTGAAAATTGTATAATTTATTTGCCCAAAGCAATGCAGAGACAAAGTGAAATCGAATATTCATTGTACTCAGGAGCTCTTTGGTCAGGGAGATAAGCACCAAGACAAGTTAAACTACCAAGTTGTACCTTTCTGGTACTCACTGAGCTACAATGTCCTATGGTTAGGACCTTTGTTTGCAAACATTGTGAATCAATCTGTCAGGGAGCTCTAGAAAAATAGCGGTAAGGGCTCCAATTCCAGACATACAGAATCATCTTTTGAAAATCTATTCAATATTTTCAGCATTCTCCTTGTTTGATTCAGATATAGCACCAGTCTTCTGGCTGACTGGTGTTTAGGGCACACTGTTTAAACCGGAGGAGGGTAGAAAACAAGATCTATTCTGTTCCGTAACAGTGCGTAGCAGTCAGATCTGGCTTGGAACTTAATAGAAGGTGGGAGATAATGGCAGGCCGAGTAAGAACGCAAAAGTTTAGAACTCAAGCGTAGTCAAGGTGAATGAAATCTGAGAACAGTGTATTAGGATACAAAAGCTGAAAAATCTTCAAGCTCCATAAAGAAATTTATCATAAAAGACTAGTGGAGATAGAACAAACCAGATTGGCAAAGAATAAGTAGATGTTGAAGCAATGCACATAAATAACTCCTGTGAAAACAAGCAGTGAAAGGAGGGAATAGTGGCTTGAAGTGATGGTGGATGAAAGGAATAGAAGTTTTCTAGTATAATGGACACCTGTTGGATTGTCTACTCAGCCATCCTTTTCTAGGAGTTAACCCTCTCCCCATTTACAAAAACTGTCATGTTAACCATAACCATCGCTGACTGCGTCAAAGGTAGATAACGAATCCAAGCTGGGTCGATCAGAATCTCATTCCCTAGAAATTTGGAATTGGACCAGAGAGATCAGTTTTTCTCTAAGTGTAAAACTTGGAAGCTGTCAGTAGTCAATTTTCCCATCAGAGGGACAAAAGTAAAAGATGCTGGTCTGCAGGAAGAGAAAAAACCGCAGACTCTAGAGCAGAGATGGGAGATAGGGAGTCTTCATCGTGTTTAAGACCCAGGTTCTAGATCATTCCTCAGGCATTCTTGCCCTTGGTTTCTCTGAGGCAACCTCATATCCTTACTATTTTTAAGATAGAGTTGGGTTAGAAACTACTCATGACCAAAAAATTATTAATTCAAGAACTGGTACCAGAAATGGGGTGTGGCAAATTATAGACCCTAAACTATGGAACTGGCAAAGATTGGAGATCTCCCATATCGTTAATTGGAAGTTGGCATTCTGTGTTATTTGGCAGCGAAGCAGTTGCTTATTGCTCTTGAGACTCAAAAGCAGAGCAGCCCTGCCTATATCAAGAGTTTAGCAGTTGCTAATGGTTAGATATTCATGGGCTTTGCTGATTTATTGTCTCATTTTAAATGTTCCACTAATTAGGAAACTGGCATCCAGTTTCCAACGAACTGGAACGAGGTTATCTTTATAAGCCATCACAGTATTCCTTGTTCTCCAGCTCCCCCAAATGTGATGATCTCTTCCTCTGTACATGCATTCAGCTGGAATGCAAGGAAGAGAGGGTAAGTGTAACATTCCCAGAGCAGATGGAAAAGAGAGGCTTCACATCGTTGAACTCAACCTGTTTCCTATCCACGCTCTGAACTGAAGACCTTGAGCATAATGCCAGGGATGAGGAGCCAAGTCTTTAGGTAGAGAGCTAAGAAATAAAAACCCAGGTTTCCCTGGTGGCACAGTGGTTGAGAGTCCGCCTGCCGATGCAGGGGACACGGGTTCGTGCCCCGGTCCGGGAAGATCCCACATGCCGCCGAGCGGCTGGGCCCGTGAGCCATGGCTGCTGAGCTTGCGCGTCCGGAGCCTGTGCTCCGCAACGGGATAGGCCACAACAGTGAGAGACCCGCATACCGCAAAAAAAAAAAAGGGAAGAAAAAAAAAGAAATAGAAACCCTGCAACAGGGTGATTATTCCCTTTAGCAAATCTGAAGATTCAAAGAGCACAAGTTGACAAGATTCTTGGCACTTGTTATTAGCATTGTGAGTCCCCTCAAATGAAGTTAACAGGCAGTCATATGAGGTTTTGAGGAAGTTGTATCACTAGAAAATCCTATCTAGTGAACAGGGACCATGAGCCAGCAGTGATTCTCAACGTATGGTCCCTGGACCGGCATATCAGCACCTAGGAACTGTTAGAAATGTAAAATCTCGGGACTCACCCCAGATCTCCTGAAACAGAAACTCTGGGGGTGGGGCTAGCAATGTGTGGTTTAAATGGTGTCAAAGATAAACAAAGCCTGACATTAGTTAAAGCAGTGAGGACAGATTTTATTCAGTTACTGACAGTAGGGGAAAAAGCAGAGCTCCATTCCCATTTGTGCAGAGGTGACTGAGCATTTTAAAGGGAAAAGGAGGGAGGAGGAGCGAGGAGAGGCTCAAGTAGAGTCAGGGAAGTGAAAAATTACAAAGAGTTGGCCAGTGTAAATGCAGTTAGGCTAGCTGTGTCTGCTAGCTGGCAATTATTTAAGTTAGGATTATATCCTCCCACAGTTACTGGGAGACACAGGCCCTAGCCTTCCTGAGGACTACATTTCAAAGGAATGGTCCTTGAGACACACTCTGGAGTTGTAGGACATACATATACATCTCAAAGGGACAGGGGAAGAAGTCATAATTTTTTTTTTTTTTTTTTTTTTTTTTTTGTGGTACGTGGGCCTCTCACTGTTGTGGCCTCTCCCGTTGCGGAGCACAGGCTCCGGACGCGCAGGCTCAGCGGCCATGGCTCACAGGCCCAGCCGCTCTGCGGCATGTGGGATCTTCCCGGACCGGGACACGAACCCGTGTCCCCTGCATTGGCAGGTGGACTCTCAACCACTGCGCCACCAGGGAAGCCCAGAAGTCATAATTTTAAGCCCTTTTTGGTAAATGCTCTAAGAAAGGGAGGTCAGGGGTCTATTGTCAGGTGTCAGCTAGAGTAAGCTATAAATTCTTTTTACAGCCCGAGCTTTTCCAGATGGAAATTGGGTCATCCCAGAGACTCCGACTTAGGAGGCTAGAAGCCAAGTTTGGTCTAGTCTCTTAGTGTAGGTGTTTGAATGGAGTGTTTGTGTCGAGAGTTTTTGCAGGTCACACTAGTTCTCCAGGTGATTCTAATGCACCCTTATGTTTGAGAATCACTGCTCTTCTAGAGCAGGCCCAAGTACAGACTGGTAAAGCAAAAAGAAGCATCAATAAAATGACTCCCATAAGTTTTTCTATACCCGTAATTTATTTCCTTCCTTCCTATCCAGGTGGAAATGGTGCACACTTGGACCGGTGGCTGATAAAGGTGTGCCCCTCTCCTTTCATAAAAGGGAACTTAGTGGTTAATCTAAATATTTCTCTTCTATTGCATGTTAGATCTGTTGGTGGCAGTTAAGTTTATCAGGGAGTGGCAGGATCAAGACAATCCACATTTAGATTGCCACTGAACTAGATGAGGAAGGGGCATGTCTATGCTGTGCCGTTGCTCTGGATGCAGTAGTTGTATGTGACTTGCAGTTGTCCATAGATTGTTAGGTGTGGACATTTGTGGAATTGTAGGTATGGGGAAAATGGCATATGTGTTTATGGGGCAGTCAAACGGAGGACTTTAGGTAAACGTCTGTTTTGTCTCCCCAGTACCCCTTTTCTACCTTACCCTCATGGTTGCACCAGGAGCTTATTCTTTATGTACCTTCCCAGAGAATTTGGGATTGAGCTGGAGGAGGAGAGATGAAAAATCCTGGCTGCATTCAAGCACCTGATTTATGTTTCTAAGGCCCATCTGCACTATCCTTGGGTGTTTTGAGACACCACCACCATCTTTATAATAAATCCCTCTTTTTTGTTTAAGCTTGTTCAAATTGGGTTTCTATTACTTACAAACAAGAATCTTAACATATATAGTACAAGAGAAACTTTATGCTAGACATAGGCCATAGAGAGGGAAGAGATAACAGATGCCAAAGCCCTGAAAGTAGAAAGGGACAGTAGATGTCACAGAATAGTGGTTAAAGTGTGTGCTTTGGAGCTGAGATCTTGGCTCCAATACCAGTTCAACTCCTTATTTGCTATATAACTAACAAGTTATTTAACCTCTTGAGCCCTTATTGTATCTATGAAATAGGGAC